GCTGTGCGGCAGGGGGCACTGGGCTGCAGTGGGTGTGTGGGGTGCTGTGGGGCAGGGCCAGCTGGGGGCGCTGGGCTGCAGCGGGTGTGTGGGGCAGGGCCAGCGGGGGGCGCTGGGCTGCAGCGGGTGTGGGGGGCCCGGTGGGGAGGGGCAGGGGGGGGCGGTGAGCTGCAGTGGGTGTGGGGGGGCGCCATGGGGCAGGGCTAGCGGGGGGCGCTGGCCTGACCCCTCTCCCCACCCGCAGGGCTGGTGAAGCTGGGCGTTCACTGCATCACGGGGCAGAAGGTGGCCATCAAGATCGTGAACCGGGAGAAGCTGTCGGAGTCGGTGCTGATGAAGGTGAGGGCCTGGGGGTGCCGGGGGCTCAGGGAGGGGCGGCTCTGCAGGCCCCGCCCCTTCCCAAATCCAAGGTTCCCTCGATCCGCCCCAGCCCCGGGCGTAGTGGGGAGCCCGGCTGAGTTTGGAACATGGGCTTGGGCGCCCCCACCCCGGCCCCCCCGTTCCTCTGCCCCACCCCGATTCCCTTCCCCATCCCCCCTCTCTCTGTCGCCCCCTGCAGGTGGAGCGGGAAATCGCCATCCTGAAGCTGATCGAGCACCCACATGTGCTGAAACTGCACGACGTCTACGAGAATAAGAAATATTTGTAGGTATTTATAGACGCTCCCTGCGTGTCACCCCCGCCCCCGCTCCGCCCGAGCCAGCCAGTCCCTGCCCTGGGGCCGGATGGGAGCCGGTGCCCCCTAGAGGGGACAGGCCCCGGGCCCCATTCCCTGCCCCCCTGAGCCAGCCAGTTGAGGTCTCCCATCCCAACACACACACACACACACACCCTGACCCTGCTTAGCTTTGGGGGGTGGGGACGGGACACTGGCTGCCTCCTACGCTGGGGAGGTCCTGTGATCTGTCTTAACCCCAGGCCATCCTTGATTGGCTGAGGAGATTGTCAGCCGCCCAATCGGAGCCCTCCAATCTGTGCTGTCGCTTCTAAGGGTTTCCAATTGGCCACGGAGATGGTGAGCCAGCCAATCGGAGCCTTCGAATCTGTGCTGTCGCTTCTAAAGACAACTGCTCTGGAATGCGGGGCAGGGGGAGGGTGATGTTCTAGAGCACCGCTCTAGAACAGGAGGGCCCATTGGTCGATGTTCTAGATCAACAGGGTCGCGGGGCGCTGTGCCCTTTATGCGCAGGAGTAGGGTTCTAGAAGGTGTTTCTGTGTTCTGGATCGGCCCTCTGGAATTGGCTGCACTGGCTTGTCTGGCTGGTGGTTCTGTAGGGAGGCCGTCCTGTATGCAAAGCTCTGGAGTTTGACTCTAGAATAAGGGCCTCTCTCCCTGCTTTGCTATTCTGGAGCATCGCTCTGCAGTGGGTGCGTTGGCTTTTCTAGATGGCAATAAGCACCTTCGCTTGCGGGTTCTAGGTCATGGATCTAGAACCAGGGCAGGACATTGCTTAGCTGTTCTAGAGCAGCGCTGAGTGTTTGGTATTCTGGAGGATGACTCTGCAATGATGCTTTTCCTGAATCGAGTAGTCTAGATTCATGGTCCAAGAGTTGCTGTGAGGGTCTAGATCATGGTCCTAGAGCTGGGGCAGGCTTGTTGCTTTGATGTCCAGTTTGGAATGGGTGTATTTGCTTGGCCAGGGCATGGGTGGTGTGATGCTGCTGCGTTCCCGGAGGTGACACTCTAGCTTGTGTGTCTAGAACCCGCTGGCCTTTGATGTTCCCGATCGTGACTCTAGAATGCAGCTGAGTTTGCTCGGTTGTTCTAGAGCCTCACACGGCCGTGGGCGTGTTTCCTTTTCTGGCGGATTTGCTCTGTGATGACCCCCCCCCGAACGCAATGTTCTAGCTCATGGATCTAGACCTGGGGCGGCTGCTGGTTTGAGGTTCTAGAGCGTGGCTCTGGAATGGGCGTGTTTGTGTTCCCGGCAGATGGGTGGTGTTACGTCTAGAACAAGGCAGCCCTGATGGCTCAGTCCAGGGCGGGGGGGGGGCGGGGGCGGATTCTCCGACAGGGCTCTGTGAGCGAGAGCCCGTTGGTCCCAGGGCTCCAGAGTGTGTGTGTGTGTGTGTGTGTGTGTGTCCCTGCTGCCCCCTGCTGGGGGGGCCGGGCCCTGCTCCGTGTGTGTGTGTGTGTGTGTGTGTTAGGGGCAGGGTGCGTTAGATGCCAGGCAGTGACAGCTGGCTCCCCCCCCACACACACATGCCCACACAAGCTGCCTTTGTCAGTGCTGGGCCGTGACATAACAGGCTGATGTGACACAGGGGGGTGAATGCCCCCCCAGCGGCAATGGGGCCGGCCCTGCCTGCTGGGGGAGAGCGCCCTCTGCTGGGCCTCCGCCCCGCTCCCTGCAGCGCACGGTGGGGTCACTGACCCAGCTGGCCGGGGGGGGCAGTGGTGTCAAGGGAGAGCTCTGATAGGTCGTGACCTTTCCTCCCCCCCTCCACCATTCCCTCCTCCCCACTTAACCCCCCCTCCCCCGGCCGGATCTCACTTCCCCTGCCCCTAATCCCCCACCCCTGGAGTCCCTCCTCCCTCCCTCAACCCCCTCCCGGCCCTGACTCTGCCCCCGATCCCCCTCCCCCTTGCCCCCCCAGGTACCTGGTGCTGGAGCACGTCTCGGGCGGGGAGCTCTTCGACTACCTGGTGAAGAAGGGGCGCCTGACCCCCAAAGAGGCTCGTAAGTTCTTCCGGCAGATCGTCTCCGCCCTGGACTTCTGCCACAGCTACTCCATCTGGTGAGCCCCCCCTGGCCCCGTGACCCCCCCAGCAACCGGCCACAGCCCCCCCAGCCCCGTGACCCCCCCCAGCAACCGGCCACAGCACCCCCGGCCCCGT